GCGGCAAACTGTTCTCTCCAGCAGACCAAATCCCCTGGCATGTCATCTCTCTATTTGGCCGATTCCTACTCTTTCCAGCCGCCTCCCGAAGCCTGGTAGAGGCTAGATTCCAGCCGCCTCCCGAAGCCTGGTAGAGGCTAGATTCCAGCCGCCTCCCAAAGCCTGGTAGAGGTTAGATTCCAGCTGCCTCCCAAAGCCTGGTAGAGGCTATACTTAATGAAGAGTGACACACAGGCGGACCGTGCGTCCCAAGGGCCCCGGATGTTGGCATTGCCGTGTCCAAATGTGGCGAAGTGTTGTGGCAAACTGACCACAGCACGTGCCCAACACGTGACCGGTCATCTATCACGTGGGGAGCACGTGACACATTGGTCATTCTGACGGGAAACTAGTATATCCCCATGGGGGGGGGTGATGTCATGGTGCTATTTTAGGTACAAAATGACCGGGCATTGCTCATATAGACTCATAATACACCATAAAAGGCATAGACGTCCTTGTTTCAACATTTAGGCCACACCGACTTAATTTTATGGATGACATCCTCTGAAGACCTGCAACTAGTGCGCGCGGGCGAATAAAAAAAAATTCCGGCCAAATATAAGAATGCTACTAAACCACAGGAATACAAAGCTGGTATTGTGAATTTGCGGCAGTACATAGCGACATATACGACAAGCCGGCACATGATGGCTTTTTGCGGAATTTATGAAAGCTCTGGGCATTTCGTAGCATTGCCTTTGAACTATCAGGTTTGCCATTGTTTTATAATAGCAAATGTATTAAAATTATGACTATATGTTGTTTATTTCATTCATTCATTTGTTCTGAAAGTATTTCTAACAGTATCTAATTTTCCCAATGCTCTACCCATATATACGACAGGTGCCTGCAGTACCCTATCTGGACAGCAGAGGCGCTGCTGCACAACATCTCGACTATCTATCCAATTTTATGACAATAGAGGTGACAAAGGTGTCTTTCTACATTCAAAGTACTAAGTACCAAACATATGTGAGGTTTCGCTGAATCAAGGTCGCTTTTTGGTGTCTTCAAGCTTTAGGCTGTTTTTTATGAGATGAAATGTGCCGTTTCTAATATCGAAAACGAAAAATATCTCCAACCTCGATTCCCATTTTCCCAAGGGCACCAGATCTTCTTACTCATTTTCCATTTCCAAGATTTTTATTGGAAATTACAGTGTAAAACTAGTTCAAAACTAATTCTACCATCAGAGATAAACTTTTCAACCAGCTAGATCAGTTATTATTCATTTTTCTCCCCATATTTTAATATAATTCCCTCCGCAACCTGTTGCTTTTATACCTTCTTTGTTCCCCCATATTAGACCGTTTTTCTGATAATTTATTCAGCGATGACGTCAAAACATAAGAACGCGGTGCACGCGCGTGACCATATAAGGAGAAGCGAACACGGGTCGTTTATCAGGGGGTTATTATGGCGCATAATGACCGGCGGTGCCAATTATCCACCCGCAGTCTGACACACGTGGCGGGAAAAGTGGCCACAGGAGACACATCTGATTATTTAGCCTGTTTACCAAACCTATCATACAATATAGCTCCACTGGGTAGGTGCACTGGGTTGCATCAAGAAAGATACTGGCACCAAAAAAAAAGGTATTTGAAACAAAAAGCCTAAAAACACGCCAAAGTAAGCCCAAACCTCTGCTTGGAGAGCTGGAATATACGACTGAGTTTAGTAAAAATGCGCTCTTTATCTATGAAATTGTCAAATGTTGGAGTTGCTTTTCATAAAATCAAATGGAATATAAAGGAAAATAGAATAAAACAACAACAAAACACATATATTCATAAACCTGTAACTGTGATATTCTAAAAAAAACAAACAAAAAAAGAAATAAATTAAAACCTGGCTTTCAGTGCACAGTGATCAGTCATATTTAATAGCCCTGATGAAAATGACAGAAAAAAATGTATCCTCTTGTCAAATGCAATAAAAATGATTTTAAAAAAATACCACTAAAAGAACCTGTGATATTCTGCCCCCCCCCCCTCCATGAATAATAACGCGTAACTTTTGCGTCACGTCGTGGCGATAAGAAAGTCTCAAGGCCGCCTTTAAGACTCCAGAAGGATCGATCTGAGACGCGCGGGATGTGAAGACTCTCCAGCTTCCATCTTAAGAACCTGCTTAAGTCTGCGGGGGTGACGTCAACACTGTCCCAGACTGTAGGCCGTGACGTCAGAAGGAAATCCACCGCCTGGAAGTCAGGGCAGCCGGGTAGCCTCCAACAGGCTTTCATAAGGCTAGAATCAACTCCTAAGGCTACCCTCCACTAGGCTTTTGCGAGGCTAACCGTAGCTTGCACTAGGCCTTTCTAAGGATAGCCTCCACCAGGATTTCTTAACGCTAGGGCTATAGTCTCCACCAGGATTTCTTAAGGCTAGGGCTATAGTCTCCACCAGGCTTTCCTAAGGCTAGGGCTATAGTCTCCACCAGGATTTCTTAAGGCTAGGGCTATAGTCTCCACCAGGATTTCTTAAGGCTAGGGCTATAGTCTCCACCAGGATTTCTTAAGGCTAGGGCTATAGTCTCCACCAGGCTTTCCTAAGGCTAGGGCTATAGCCTCCACCAGGATTTCTTAACGCTAGGGCTATAGCCTCCACCAGGATTTCTTAACGCTAGGGCTATAGTCTCCACCAGGCTTTCCTAAGGCTAGGGCTATAGCCTCCACCAGGATTTCTTAACGCTAGGGCTATAGCCTCCACCAGGATTTCTTAACGCTAGGGCTATAGCCTCCACCAGGATTTCTTAACGCTAGGGCTATAGCCTCCACCAGGATTTCTTAAGGCTAGCGATAGCCTCCACCAGGATTTCTTAAGGCTAGCGATAGCCTCCACCAGGATTTCCAGAGGCTAAGGCTTGCTTGCACCAGGCTTTCCTAAGGCTACGGCTAGTCTCCACCAGGCTTTCCCGAGGCTAACAGTAGCCTGCACCAGACCTTCCGAAGGCTAGCATCCACCAGGCCTTTGGGGGTGGGGGTAGCTACTAGAATTCGGTAAAAAAATAGTTAATGTAGCCTCTACCGTGGCAGCTGGAAAGAGTAGAAAATAGCGTGGAATTCATCCCTACGAGCTGCAGGGTCGGTTAAATTGTTAGCTACTGTCGAATCGGACGTTAAACGTATGGTAATGCAGGGGCAAGTCAGACATTTTTTTAAATTCTTACACCCCAGTCACCCTCTGGATGACACCAGCCGTTTTCTAATTGCCGCAGATTTAATGTCTGCCATAAATTCTGCATAATACCGGGGATGACAACAGATGACGTAACCGTCAGGATATGGCCGGCAGTATCGGGTGACGAGGCTGATTAATTAGTCTGGAACCCAGGCCCAAACAGCGGCTTCCAAATGTCTTCTGTTACTGAATAGTCTGGAAAGCCCGATAAAAAAGCCTAAGAACACGCCTAAATTAATCCAAAACCCAAACCTCTGCTTGGAGAGTAAAAAAGAAAATACATCCACACTACGAGGCCGGCCGCTCCAAATACATGTAGCTACCGATGGAGAAATTTCACGTCATATCATGTCAATACGACATTTACGTTCATATTTATGTAGTTATAGTTTATAGGAATAGACTAGTGTTATTGTAATGATCACATTGTCATCCTGGCCATACATTATACCTGTACAACTCCCGAGCAAAAAAGATAATTTATTCATTCAAAATATCATATCATATTATATATATAACGTAACGTAACGTCGCATCGGTTCTGTAGATAATTGTTGATAGATAGATACTGATCGTAATATTTTCGCTTTCTATTTTAGCTTGTGTAGAATTTTTTAAAATGTTTTGCAGTCAATTTCTGCAGTAATATCGCTTCATCAATTCAGCCTTCAGGCTGCGACTGTTCTGGTATAGCTCATGTCATAATAAACCATTCTACATGCAATTCAGAGAGATTCACAGTTCTAGTATTTATCTAAATGTCTAAAATACATATTTTCCAAACATATTCGACTAGCGACAGACATACTAACACTTGGTATCAAATAAATGTGACAAAAATTTAGGGCGTGTGCGCAGCCAGTACACCCTCCCCGATGTAAAACGTACGGTCCCCGTGATGATGTCATCGCTGTGTTATTTGTACCCTCCCCGATGTAAAACGTACGGTCCCCTGTGATGATGTCATCCCTGTGTTATTTTTTCCGGGAAATTTGTGCTGTTTTTGGTGCCGGAGTAGATAATAATATCCGGCCTCGGCAGCTGGGAAATATAAATATCATCTCTTAGCCTCCAACAGCTGGCCGTACCAACTATATAGCCTCTACCAGGCTTCGGGAGGCGGCTGGAAAGAGTAGAAATCGGCCAAATAGAGAGATAAGCATGGGGTGCGGCGAAATGTTCTCTCAACGGACAAACTCCCTTGCCATGCTTATCTCTCTCTTTGGCCGATTTCTACTCTTTCCAGCCGCCTCCCCAAGCCTGGTAGAGGCTACCAACTATACTAAGTATCTAATACCAGCCCAGAAAAGAACAAGAAATAGTCATGCCTTCAAGTACCAGAATATCATCTCTTAGCCTCCACCAGGCCTTCCACTACACGCTTTTTCTACTTGTGGTTTCTGTTTTGCACTGGATTTTTTTTTCACTCAACAGTGTAAAAAAAAGAAACCCCGATAAAAAAATCTTAAAACACGCCAAAGATAACCCCAAACTACTAGTATTGTATAATCCTATATGTTGTAAATATCAGCACAATTCAGTTTTTACTGCAAGTCTGATATGTTCTTTGCTCTTTTCAATAAACCAATCACTACTACACAAACCCAAACCTCTGCTTGGAGAGTAGTGATCACTGCCTGTGGAAGTAGGGCGGGGTAATAACAATTTGGGAATGACTTTTCACATTCAGACCCGAAAATTAATCTCCAAGCAGATCCCTTTCGGTGGCAAAAAAGACAGTATCAAACTGGCCAGGCAGTATCCATTAGCCAGAGAAGTTCCGCGGCCACCGACGGTGGGAGTAGCCGACAAAAATCATTCCGCCACAACCTCTGCTTGGAGAGTAAGAAATGCAGTATTTTGTAGGCTGGGAAGGTGAATAAAGCTAGCTAGGGAACATAATGACACATTCCGAGTTCCGGTTTGGGGCAGTTTCGCGGCGCCTCCAGCTAAAACTTAATCCAATCAGTCCCGCCGATGTCTGATGACTAACCCGGTCCGATACTATCGAGCCCTAAAGGCTGAATTTCCCCTCATTTTCCGCCGATTCTGCCGGCAAAGTAAGCCTGTCTGGTGCAGGGTGAAATTTCTAAAATTCTCTGCTGGGTACGCTAGCTCAGCCGGTGTGATATAGCTAGCTGCCGCCGCGCCGCGTGCCTGCGAAGCTGGTGTGTTACGCCGAAGGGCGGTTATATCGGCCATATCAATACATGTACAGATACAGTCGTCTGGAGGGGGGGCTCTGGGTAGCCTCCATAGCATGCCAAAAACTCGGGGTTTGGGGGGTCTTTGGGAGCTTTTATGTGCTATTTTCTGATTGCATATAGACAACATAGCCGGCCTGGTTGAATTACCCCCGTTTTTAGAACTGGGCTAATCAGAAAACAGCCGAAGACCACCAAACCTCCAGTTCTAGAAGCTACGGAGACTGTTGTTTCAGTTGAAGGTTTCTTTACTTCCTTCCGACTGCGCAATGTTTGATGTATGTAATTTGGAACAACAGCTGGTGCGGTCGGTTGCCATGACTACACGATTCTGGTAACCATGGTAACCATGACTAAGAGACCACTTTAACCAGGCGGTCTCCATGGCGACAGACTGTAGCGAGTCTGGATCTGAGGCGACAGGTTGTAGCAATACGAAAAGGCGACAGGTTGTAGCAAATATGGACACAAACAACACCTGCCGACCGACATGACGTCAGCATAGTTCTCACCTGACGCAGGGAGACGTACCTGTCCGTGACGTCACGCAGGTGAGCCGTGCCGTCAGACACACCTGGCCGTGACCGTGAGGGCGGCAGGATCAAAGGCAGGGATGAGTCAGAAGGCAGGTGGACAGGTGCGGGGTCGTCTAAGTCAGTAGCCATTCTGGACAAACAACAAAGAGACAAGACATTAAGTGTTACTCAGCTCACGGTGCTAATATTCTCAGTGTGGTCTGTGCTTAGCCTCTACCAGGCTTCGGGAGGCGACTAGAAAGCCCAAATAGAGAGATAGCACGTCGGGGAGTTGGTCCGCTAGAAAAGCACAGTTTGCCGAACCGAAAAGTACAGTTTTCCAGCCGCCTCCCGAGCCCATATTTTTGTTTTGTCAACTTTTTCGTTCGGTAAGAAACAGTTTCTTTTTCTCATTTCTTCGCGTTTTATTCCAGTTATCTTCTCCGTATTCCCGTTGGACGTTCGCGAATGAACACCTTGCACGATCGGCGTTACACCTATGCCCAAGTCACCCCAGGTGAGTCATGTGGACAGGTGTGTGGCAGGTGTACACCTGAGCGTCACGTACAGGTAACCTACAGGTAACGTCACCCCCGCACAAAGAACTGCGGGACTTTCCAGTGACGTCAGCCTGGCAGCTGTGCGCTTGTTTGTCGTGTGTCTGAACTCTAACGGCGTGCGTCCAACTCACAACAAGAGGGCGAAAGAGACTCGCCTTGTTGATATATTTTCATTGCTTCCTTCAATGTTAAGTTCCTCTTTCCGAAAAACTAGGAAGTGAGGGTCATTAGTTCAAAGCGCTTCACTGTTCAAACCCTGCGGTTTGTTTCCGGCTTTTTGGTGAAACGATCCGCAGTGTTTTCGCAATTTCCTTCTTTAGTGGAACTACGCATACATGGCAGTGCCGATCCTTTGAAAATCGTCAGCTTGTCCATGTATGTATGCAGTTTTGGGTGTGCAAAATGCGATTTCAGGGCAGCGAAACTGGAAATATTCTGAATAAGGCAATCTTTGTGATATTGACACATACTGATTCATATTTCATACTTTGGGCATTTAAAATTGCAGAAATAAGCCCCAAGATGAGCGCTTATTTTCTGTGGGGTACCCTAAAATTAGCCAACGGTCCTTCCAGTAACCATTTTCCGTCAGAGTTTTGGTAATTGTTGCTCCATGAGGGTCAATATACAATGGGATAGTGTGGTTTCAACTCAGTATGTAGATAAACGACTAGAATGTTGACTTTGAAAAATCGGGTTTTCAAGCCCCCAAAACAGCACTGGATACCTTTAAATGATAAGTATATTACTCTATATTGTAGAGAAAACTGTGCTATCTATGTGTATATTCATATTGTTCAAGTGTTTTTTTAGTTCTCCTATTGAATATTTCCTTTTTACAGAAAGCGCGCGCGAACTTCTGTCCCAAACTTTCCCCACTACTCCCTAAAAGCAGTGACGAAACCACAAAGCGCCGGTCGCTGATTGGCGGGGAGTGATGTCATGGTAACGGGCACGTCGGGCGCTCTGATTGGCCAGCCATGACGTGTGTTCTATTTTTAGCGCGGTGATGTCATGCCTGCCCAGGTTTCGGCCCTACAGTGTTTTCTTTTTTGCTCGCTCCGTTCGGAGAATTTCCCGTGCCGTTGCTGGCTCCAAACCTGCCCGTATCCCGCCGCCATGCCGTCCCAGCCCCCGGCAGCGTAAAGCTGCACAACCCCCGGCCGTCCCCCTCGCCTGTAGCGCCGCCTAACGCCCGTACGCGGCCCGCTATTCCAGCCCATCCCCCCTACACCACTACAGAGGACGGTACGTTAGCCAAACAGGATCACCACGTTAGAATTAGATCCTCATCGCGATCCGGATCCAGCTTTGCAGTGATCTACACACGCGTAGATCCAGCTAGAGTGATCCCGCTACGGCAGAACCTGTGGATTTCTTCAGGCCCGTGTTTGTGTGTGTGAGAGAGAGAAGGTTTGTTGTTGACGCCCCCCCCCCACTGTATGTGTGATCGTGAGTCATCTGTACTGTTACCATCCAGCCACGCAACAATATAACATAACGCATTGCTAAATCGGGAAACTTACAAATTACACAACAATCAAGACGCAAGAAAGACAACAAGAAGTTGGATCTACTACTAAAACGTCTTCAAGAAACCAGGACATCTTCCCAGGACAGGTGTGGAACCATACAGGTGAGTCAATTGTTACCTGCCCATAGTCATACCTGGTATCTCATACATGTACAATGTAATAATACATAAGGAAAACGGAAGCAAATATTCTTGTTTTAGTAGGCAGGATGTTTTGAAAATGAAGATTATTCTGGTTTCTGTGAAAATTTGTTAGTAATTTTTCTAGTAATTTCTGAGCTTTTAAGAATCACTGATATTCTAGAACTTAGTAGAAGAGGTAGGTTGCTAGGCTGAATGTTTTATATATACAATATTTTTTGTTATTATTAAAAACCTACAATGCTTTCCTCTTTTCCTTATTAATCAGACTCAGAGGTTCACACACATTTTAAAAAATTTTGTTAGTCTAAAATACTATTTAATAAAATATTATATTTGTAGTTTTTTTGTCTATGATATCATTTTCTATGGTCACCCCTCAAGACCTAAGACAAAACTTAACGATTATAAATTATTGTAAAATACCCCCCACCCCACCCACACACACACTTATCAGTGTAAAAATTTAACTGGCTACGTAGAGTTCCACACGGAAAATCAGAAAATTATTTCATCATCATCCAAAAATAGTGATAATGTCACAAAAGAAGAGTCTAAATTCCTTTCTCAATTGTCTATAAGTTCATTGTCATTGTCAATTCAAAATAAACTGCCCCAGTATACCACAGGTCAGAACGAACCCTTTAAACTTTAAAGATTTAAACCGAGAAGCAGAGTTTGGTGAGAAAGTTCCAGAAGCCTTACCCTGTGTACAGTTTAGTTGATCATGGACTTTAGATTGGACTTTGTTCTGACCACAGTTCCTCTTAGTTCACTGTGACACATACACTATACCCTCAGTCAACCCTGCCTAAAAAGAGTCAACAATCGGGATAGATAAAGCCTATGCAGAAAAGTGGTCACTATAGATAGCGTACTTCTTCATGTCTGTGTCATTGGGGAAAAAGGATAGCCTGGTTACCAAACCTATTATAGCTCCCAAGTCTGAGAGGATGTAGGACACGGGAGCTATAATAGGTTTGGTAACCAGGCTAGAAAAAGGGGTGAGTACGGTACAGTACTCAGACCTTACATATGCAGAGGTGCGTCACAGTTGTGTTCAACATGGTGAGGTAATTTCAACATTAGGGAACAAAACGGCCACCACAACAATTTTAAAAATTTTTGGTTGTTGAATATCATTATCAAGCACGGGAAACAAAGCACTCAAAGTGCAACGCGAATGTTACAACTTGAAAATTGATGAACAATTTGTTTGTATTGCTGGGTACCATGTGTACTCCTCTGGCTCTGTTTTCTGTTAGTTTTTCCTGTTCAATATGGATATTTGGAAAGGTTTGAAAACAAGGAAATACTCTACAATGTAGTGTTGCCTTTCTGGTTCCTAAGTCAGCATTTTTGTGGACACAGGGAAACGTGGCAACTCAGTGACTCAGCGAATTCAGAAGTAGGGAGGGATGACACAATCCAGTGTGGTGAAGTCAGCCATTGTTTTGGGACAAAAGTCAGGTTTAGTCACTGGTCAAACGACAGGCTGACGGCTTTACAGACACAAACCTGCTTCTGTGGGTTACTGAACTTCTCAAAGATCAAAATCGTCATTTCTAGAGATTAGGTCTGAATTTGAAAGTCTCTTTCACTTTCTTAATTATAATGTTTACCGAAGGAAAACATCTAGTTTTTTGCTCAGTTTCTTCTTCCTCTTCTTTTCCGTACAAATAAGGTCAATGACCTGAACCAAACGTCTGTCACCATGGTAACTAGTGTTGGGTTACATCATGTTGCAATTTTATGCCTGCCTAACTTCTACCTTTATGATAAAAGTTTATCTAGTACTGCACATACATAGTACACGTTGTAAGGAAACACTAGTACTAGTGTCGCGTTGTGTTGTCAGGATGATGTCATCTGTTGTGACCCAGACAGGCTGAAAACCTGGGCATTAATATTAGATGAGCTACAGACTGGGACACAAACACACCTGTAGAGCCTCACCTGTGCTGCCAGGTACACACACACACACACCTGTAGAGTTTACCTGTACCTGTACCAGGTACACACACACACACACCTGTAGAGTTTACCTGTACCTGTACCAGGTACACACACACCTGTAGAGTTTACCTGTACCTGTACCAGGTACACACACACCTGTAGAGTTTACCTGTACCAGGTACACACACACCTGTAGAGCTTACCTGTACCTGTACCAGGTACACACACACCTGTAGAGTTTACCTGTACCTGTACCAGGTACACACACACCTGTAGAGTTTACCTGTACAATGTACCTGTACCAGGTACACACACACCTGTAGAGTTTACCTGTACCTATACCAGGTGCACATACACCTGTAGAGTTTACCTGTACCTGAGGTTAGGTACCAGGTGTAATAACACACCTGTAGGGCCTCACCTGTACAACAGGTGTGTTAGTGACTCACAGGTGATGTTTACCTGCTCAGGTGAAGGTAACTGAAGATGGCCGCCTTATTACTAGTGCTGTAACTGTGACTCAGCTAAAATTGTGGGAAGATAAAAAGACAGCCATAAGATAAAAATTTATTGGTTCTTTTTTTTAATCTAGTTGTTTCGGACAAAAGATATAGGCAAGCATGTAGAATATGCTATTTTTGTTTCTTTTGAAGTTTTTCTGTTACTGGATAACTGATATTTTGTGAACTGTTAATAAACTTTTCAGGTAGTATAGGCATAAAATTACGAGTCGTCTGACTCAAACATGTTTCTTATTATTGTCATTTAATCTCCTTCTTGGTAAAACAAACTTTTTCTGTTCCAGTGTCCTCAGAAGACTCCAACTGATGTCTACAAGAACTGCCAGACCCGCGGAACGAAGGAGTGAAAGAAACGAAGGAAGGAGAGAGAACATAGGAGGAAGAGAACAGAGCTGAAGTAGTTTATATGTCGATACTCATGCTAAAAAACGGGAAAGTGCAATATAATCAGAGAGTCATGGCCAACCAAAGAACAGTACAACTAGTTTAGCCTCGCTGGAACGGAGAGAGATATGATCGCGAGCTGAAAGAACGGACGGTTTTCGAGTGGAAATCGGGAAATAAAATCGATGACGATGAAGGCAAAAACGTGCGGCGTACGAGAAGCGATGGCAGAACAGCTCCTGAAGTACCAGGCGAACCTCCTGAACTGTGAGCGTTTGGCGGCCATGTTGCAGGGCGGACTGTCCAAGACGCTGCTGATCGACAGCAGGTCATTCCTGGAGTATAACACGTCTCACGTTCTAAACTCTGTCAACATCTGCTGCTCGAAACTCATGAAGAGACGTTTGCAGCAGGACAAGGTGAGGTTTGCTGTCATGAAAGTTCATCTGTGTTGGTAGTTACATGTTTAGAGTTAAAACTTTTGATCCAACACAAAAAGTTCTCTCACTTGTAGAGCTTTCTACCAGTCACTCTGGTCTTCCTCAGTAGACTGACCGAGTGAAGCATGTCACGTGGCCTCTTTGAAGTGTGAGTCGTCAACACTGGGTCAAAGGTATCTGGTAAACAAACAAACAAACATTTTTCCCATTCCCCAGGTGTCCATCCGTGAGGTTCTAAGAAACACCTGCCAAGTTCCAGTAGAGGAGAAAGAGGAGGTGATAGTGTATGACCAGTGCACCCAGGACCTGGACGGCCTGTCCACAGAAAACTTCCTCTCTGTGTTGCTGGGAAAACTGTCCGTAGCCTACAAGAATGTCTCACTGCTCACAGGTCAGTCTGGGCTACACGTCAATCATTTGTACTACAGCTGTCCATCATTCCTACTGCAGCTGTCAATCATTAACATAGCGATGACCTTGAAAAGTTAAGGTCATCTAATTAATTTACGATGGAATCTGGTTTGAAGTTTCTTCTGTTGTATTTCATTCACACAGTTTGAATTCTCACCCTCTTAGTCTTTTTACCCCAACAATTCTCTTTGTCAATTAATTGTCACGGTCCCTTGTTTTTACTAGGCAGCTGTATAATTATATACATATTTAGTTCACAAGAAATTGATATTTGAAGCAAACGTTTTTTTGACAAAACCACACATTTTCCTCGCATTCTGCATAAAGAATTAGTGTAACAGTTAGTAATAATGAAATCAGCAAATGTCTAATTGTGTGAGAGTCAGGTGATCAGGGATGACATCACCCTTCTATGTGCCACCTCATCACATTCTGTGCACAGCTGGCGATGACATCACCACTTAGTCAGATCAGCTGACATCACATGATTTGTGGTGATCTCATCCCTTTTTTGTGTAAATTGTGTGGAAATCAATTTGTGAGTTGGTTTTGCAGTAAGTCAGCTGGTACGGTTGGCAAGCCAGCCCTTGTGCTTGACATGTGTCATGTGGTACACTGTACAGTACATACTATTTGTAGAAGTTTGAGTCTGGTGCATTTGTAACCCCTGCTCCTGAGCTATATTGTGCCAGTTAGTCCTCACTGAGTCAGTCTCAGTGAGTTCAGCTTGTGTCGAAAGAATTAGGGGAGTAGAAACAGAAAGACACTCCAGGCCCAGGGGCCGGGATCAAACCCGGGCACCAGTCCACAACCTCGACGCTCTAACCATTTGGCTAAAAGGTCTAGACCCTTCAGACTGATCAGTTGGTAGCGCCTAGATATAAACCCTCCACCGTTACACCAGCATTGATATTCTGACTTAGGGAGAAGAGATGCTTTTCCAGTAACCTGAAAGTTCAGTGCCCAGAAGTGATCTCTAGTGGGCAAGTTGCACTGAACTATTCCTTCTCCGAACCTCCCCTGACCCCCCCCCCAGGTGTGCACCAGACTGAAGTGTTACTGAACCTCCCCTGATCCCCAGGCCTGATCACACACGTCCACCAGACTGAAGTGTTACTTAACCTCCCCTGAACCGTGTGTGCACCAGACTGAAGTGTTACTTAACCTCCCCTGAACCGTGTGTGCACCAGACTGAAGTGTTACTGAACCTCCCCTGATCCCCCAGGTGTGCACCAGACTGAAGTATTACTGAACCTCCCCCACAGGTGTGTACAGGTAGATCAGGAAGGAAGGGCTCTTTAGCCTCATTTCCAGACGATAATTAATTAGCTCATTTAGCACCATGTCAGAAACAGGCTGAACGACCCACTTCTCGGGTTGATGGTTTGAAAGGTCGTAAATAAATTAGCAGAAATGGGACTCAAATTTCACGTAAAAAGCAGTGGAAAAAGAAAAAAGTCAGAGAAAATATCATTCATGTTTTTAAGTTTTAAGAAGGTTTTTCCATACTGTAGTTATAGCAAGTCACTCTAAAAATGAAGGAAAATTAAATTGAATACATGTAAGATAAAAGTGCTAATATTGTCCATTTGTCATATTTGTGAGGAGAATAGAAAACAGCAGATCATGCAGTTTTTTGTGAGCATTCATATTGTTGTGTATGAATAAACGTATATGTAGTTTCAAAACCAGAATTTCCATACTGTAGTTTTAGCAAAATACTAAAAGGAAAATTGACTATAAGAAAAAAATTTATGCTACATAAATACTGTCCATCTGTCATGTTTGTGTGTAGAAATGGTTGCCATGGTGATGACCCGCCCTTTAGAACACAAACGCCCATAAAAGGTCGTGTGGTGGTCTGAGGATGACCTCAGTGCAGAGTTATGGATGGTTTGTTGTCATCTGACTCGCCGGGGAAACGGGCGATAATTTCCCCGCTAAACGCGCTCCTTTGTCGCGGAAAAGGTTCCGGGAGAAAGGCGGGTGACAGGAGGCATTGTGGGCCATGAGTGATGGAGGGCAGTGCAATATGGGAAGGCAGCAGGGAGTTGTTAATCGTGTTATTTAGGTTGATGACTTCATCATGGTGAACTGTTGGGGGACTAAAAATACAAATTTAGTAAAGGAAAATCATGAGTAGGAAGGAGGAAAATCGGTATTTATTAGGTTCTTACAGTATCCCAAATACTAAAATGTTTCTTTGTCTGCAATATATGTATCATTACCAGAATATCATTATAATATAGGATATATATATATATATAT